GCGGTAATTCGGTCATTCAATTTTATTTACATAGATGAAAGAAAAAGCACCTTATCCATTGTGTCAGTTTTTGAAAACAAGGAGAAATGTTTAGAAAAAAATTTTTCGATAATTCAGCAAAATGAATCACTTTCTACAGTCTGAATCATCTTAAAATTTTTCACAAAAGATTCTGCCAGAATTTCAGAATTTCTGCCCTCTATGCATGCTTGCACTGTGAAATTCTAATGCCCACGACCGAATTTCATGTTTGAAAAAAAGTACTTCATATGAGCCAACAGCAATAAGTAACTAATTTTGGTTTTTTTAGTAAATAAAGGACGACAGCAAAAACAAATATTTGCAGGGTAAGATCCGTCAGATTTCATAGCTATAACTATCGCACAGAAGTGCTAATGGCAAAATTATATTGGTTTCAGGAGGAAGCAAAACGGGGTCCAGAAAGTATTTCCAGAATTCTTCATAAATTAATTGAACAAGATCGTGCAATACTCTTTAAGACTATAATTCTGGAATCGCTTTGTTAACAGAATGATGCTCAGGCTTTTGCTGTAAGTCTTTGACAAATATAATTTGCTGTTAACTTATTAACTCTTCATCATGGGACGGTGAGAAGTATCAACTCTAGCAACTTTTTGTAAATTATTGAACAAATTTACAAAAAACGAGAGATTGTGAGTTGGAACATAGCGTCTCCCCGGGGAGAAAAAAAGCATGCATTTTCTACAAGTCTTACTGACAAAACACTTATAATGATTCGTGTGAAAGAAAACGAATAAAGTTTGTTGTTAGCTTATTAACTCTTCATCGTGCTACAGTGAAAAGTAATAACACTGCCATTTAGCAGCTCGAGAGTTCGAATCCGCCCTTTGGACAATTAAGTCCTTTATGACTCACTCATTCATTTCGATAGTAAATGCGTATTAGCGTATGCCAGGGAATTAACTCATCATCAGCTCGTAAGGAACGTTCAGAAGTAGGAATCATCGACATCTTTGCCAACTGTTGATTGCGGTTGGCATTTATTCTGCTTATTCAACTTTTTGAGTACCTTCACTTCTTTACAAAGTGTTTGTAGTCGAACTGATTGACTCAGTTATCAACTGAGCACTGATAAAACTGCAGAACATATGCCA